TCCCCTCTGAATCCCATTTTCTCTGTTGCTCACTCACTCTCTGTCTCTGATAGAGGCCTGCGCAGCACCACTATCAGTGAATGAGTCTTGCCCTCTCGTGTTGGGGAGACAAATTCTGGCTCTTCTAGGGGATGTGGGGAAGGAGGGTGGGAAGAGAGAGGAAGTGGCAGCTGTGGTGATAAGTACTTGCCTCTTCCCAACCACTATCCTCCCCCTCATCCTGCAGGACACCAGCACTGGGAGGGCTTTGGAAGAGCTACTCCCCTGAAGCCCGAAAGCTCTCCTGCTCCTAGTTTATGTCCCAAGATCTTTAGGGACTGCTGGGTTTTCCCCTAGTCTGGAGGAGTGGGATGGGGACTGAGTGAGCCGGGACACCCAAAGCAGGGAATTTCATCCCATTGTGGGCTGGTTTGTTCTCTGCCAGGGAGGCTGGAGTTTTCCTGAATTTAGACAGACTGTAGTCATCCTGGCTTCCACAGTCCGTGTCCCAAGGGGGGTTAACCCATGCAAGACACAACTTGCAGGACAAGTCAGGGTCAGGGCCCTGCTGGTGGGAGCCACAGGACGCAGTGGGGGGCTGTGCGGTGTGGCGAAAGGCAGGCAGGAGGCTGTCCTCTGTGAGCTCCCCAGGGTCATTTCCCAACAATGCAGGAATTTGCATACTCACTAGTTTCCCTATCAGCTTCTTGGCTCCTGGAACCAGGAAAACAAGAGGAGGAAAGAGCACATGGGCAGCCATCCAGATTTGATCTCTTCCAGTACGCCTTGGCGGCTTGAGGGCTTGAGCTTTGGTGTTAGGAATCACATTCCATCCCTGCCACCCTCTCCTTTAAAGCTACTGCAGGCCAGGAAGCTGAGGCTCCGAGAAGGGAATCGAGTTGCCCAGGGCTAACTAGTGAGTGGGGCTTGAACCCAGGCCTCCTCCCTCTCCTGCTGCTGACACATGAACTGAGGTATCTTCTTCTTATATCTAGAGAGAGGGGCAAGGACCATTGTGTCCCTTTTACAAGTGGCAAGAGTGGGGCCCAGTGAGCAAATACCACCTACCTAAGCTACTTGAGTATGCTGTGGGGCAGGAGGTGGTAGGGAGAACATTGGAGTTAAAACCCAAGTCGTGGGAAAGAGACAACCTGAGCACTGGGCCTGGCAGTCT